TCAGCAATAGTAGGATGGATGATAAACTAGGTATATATCATAATTATGACTATAAAAAATGAAACAAAATGTTTTATTAAACAATCTCGGCGCATTAATACATGTAAACAATTTTAAAATATGTACTCATTTTAGTCCTATATTTAACTATCGATACTGTACATTACTACACACCTATATTCACTGCAGTACCGCTTAGGAATACAGATATTTGATTCACCTGAAAAAATCGATTCTCGAGTCCATTCAGAATCAAATTGTAAGAATCGATTCTTCTAAAAACGTAACCTAATGATTGATATGAAATATATGTACATACATATTTCATAAAAAAAATTTAGAGCATACATATATGTATTTTTTAAAAATATATAGTAATGTTATATACATATATATGTTCTAAAGTCACAATCAATATATAGATATACCTATGAATATAAAAGAATTGTGTAGGAAACCAAAAGAACCAACACATCAAGCAGTTTGATTGGACCTTCTATTAGTGACAATTAAAACAAAAAATCGTTTTTTGATTCTTACATCAAAGAATCGATTCTGTGGAAAATCGTATACTGAAGAATCGATTCAAATGATCGATCTTTTAACCAAAAGAATCAATTCCTACTTAGAAAGTTAGAAATGTATGCGGCAGACTCCGAAGTGTTTCGTCTCTTTAAAGATCCTCTGTAGTGAAGAGCAGTGAAGAGCTCTTGAGTACGAATGGAATCAATAAATATTAAATTCTAGTTTGTACCGGGCCATCTACACACGATAGAGTATTGTTGGCTACTATTGCAGTGTAATTCAGGATATTGTTTTAAACAATAAATAAGTCTGGCTTCGTCTATACATCTGCACGTGCACGAATGAGTTGTATGAAAAAAGCAATTAATCGCAAAATGACAGAAGAAGGTATTGATTAAATTTTTGTTAATTCACGATAAAACATTTTTACCAAATAGACAATTAGCAATTAGTATCTGTATTAATTACATCACAATAATGTTTACTACATTTGATCATATGTCATCTTCATATTGGAGATTACTTACAGTCGATGTGAATAGTATTCATATAGTGACTGCTTTAAAATAAAATTTTGTATAGTCGGCTTTCCTACAACACGTTAGATTCGTCCCGTGTTGTATCGAAAAGAAATCTAGAAATAATACAAGTCAGGGAAATCCGGTCTGTGCTATGTTGAAAGCATATTCTCGGAGTGTCATGTTAAAAGAAACCTAAAAACGAAATAAATCGAGAGAATGCATTTCGTGTTATAGCGAAACCATGCTCTTCAAATAATCTCTTATATATTAACCTTCAAGTGATGTCCACTGTTTTAATATCACTAGTAATAACGTGACTTCAAATTAACTCCATATCAATAATGATGACTTGATGCTAGATTGACTCCATATTAATAATGATGATTTTATGTCAAATAAACTCCCTATCAATAATGGTAACTTGATGTCAAACTGATCCGTCAATAGTAGTATTACTAGCGATACAGAATCAATTTGACATCAAGTCATCATTAAGTGATATGGAGTCAATTTAACTTTAAGTCACCACTATTGATACAGAGTCAATTTGACTTCGAGTCGTCATTATAGATACATAGTCAATTTGATTTCAAGTCACTATTATTGTAGTAATATAGAGTTAATTTAATATAATATCACTGCTAATTTAAGGTTGCAAGAAATTCTAAAACAATGGAAATCCAAAGTGTATTCAAATTATTTTTAATGATTTCATACAACAAAAACAAACATTGTACATTTTTGTAAAATTAGAAAATATAAATTTCAGAAATGCTGAGGATTTGTCAGATACTATTACAGTTATCATC